CTGGCCATGGCCACTGGTGACAAGCTTGGCCTTGCTGCTGTTGCCACCCTTGGACGCTTCCCCCAAACCCACTGGTGTCACCTACCCCTTGCCCCTGGATTGCTCACCATTGATTAACCTGCTTCTGTGAGGGCCACAGTGGCTACCCCTATGGCTCAAGTTGAATCTGGCCTGAGAGGAGCCCTGCAGTCCAGATTTGGCTCAGGGACCAAGTAAATTTGACACCCCTGGAATATTAAATGTTCATGAACATTTTTTTTTTCAGAAAAAATTAAAGAGATATCAGTTGTCTGTTGCACCTGGCTTTTCTTGACAGTTGGGGCATAACAGACCCTTGCAGTTGTTAAGGCTGACCTCTTGCTACAGGGTGCTTTTGAAAATATTTCTGAACCTCTTGACTAACAGTCAGCTTCGCAGAGTTAGATCTATGTCAGTCCCTAGAACATTCATGAAATGAGGCACAACTGTATCATCTAAAAAAAAGTTGTGATGTTTTGCTGCTGCTTGGTTATTGCAGAGTTCTTCATGCATAACTTTCATTTTGTTAGACAGTACTCTGATTTCTTATGATTACTGTTGTAACAGGGACTCTAGCAGGAGCCCTGTTACTTGAGCTAACTAACATAGGGAGGAATGACCTCCGAGTGCACCCGGTCAGGTAGGTGGAAATGATTACACACCTGAAGAGCGGGTGAAGGATTAGCCTGTGAAAACGGGGGATAAAACCGGCAGCGGGACATACAAGGTGCCTTCGGGCACCAGAGGAGGAACCAGGGGCTAACCGAGACCCGAGAGCGAGCGAGCGAGGCAAATGTGGAAAGGACCTTGGGAACACCGGATTGCCTGGACATCCAACAGGTCAGAGTCCCGACGAATGGTGAGAGGACGACGAGCGCCGTTGTGGCGAGTCGGGAGGGATACAGAGGCGGCGGGAACAAGCTCGGCAGAAGAGCCAGAACAAGAAGGAGAGCTTTGGGGACAATATACGGGGAAATAGTGCCCAGATAAGCTCCGACCTCACGGGGACAATGACTGGTTAAGAAATAAGCAGAAGAATCGGGTGGGAGCTGCAGGGAGCCGCTCCCTTCACAAACCACGGGCGGAGACTGAAAGACGTGGGGATGGCTTAACGCTAATAAGGCAATTAGCGGTCTTAATTAGTTTAAACAAAGTTTTATTAAAAGTTTCAGCTTGAGGATTTTTTTTTTTCTATTGTAAATCAACTGCCTTCGCCAGTGGAGTATTCGGCAAGGCTACTGTTACCAAACCTTTTACTTTAGAGAAAATAAATGTTTAATTTGAACGTGTAACATCTAGGTGGTATTAATTGATCACGGGCTTTAACAATTTACCGATATCCTTCCTTCTCTTATTACATCCCAGTTGTGGCAGGCGAGTGGAGGAAGAACAAGTAAATTGCCCAACAACATTCACAACTGTTATAGAAGTTTATGGAATATTGGCTTGAAGAAAACCAGTCTCAGCGAGTTTAAACCGGTTTTGACCATAGTCTTGGTCAAAATGAGTAAAAGTAATGGGTAATTGCCACATTTGACGCCTCGTTTTATTGCCCCCTCCCTCTTTTTTTTTTTTTTCTCTTGCATGAGCTCTGTCTTTCATAGAGGAGCTATTGTCAAATTGGCAAACGCGACCCAGAACACTCCCACAAAAGTCAGTTGCAAGAAGAATTCTGAATTCCAATGGCTTACCTACGGTGAGAACCTGAAATGGCCAGCTATTCACAAAGGTGTATACTGAAGTCTTATTCTTCTCTCCCACACAAAGGAAGCTTGCAATGATTTATAAATCTGCAGCTAGTATCTTAGCAACATCGTTGAGGAAACAGTACTCAGGAACCTTTCTAAATAGCTTTTACTGAACATAACTGTGGCTAGTTGTAAGAGAAATGTTAAAGGCAATTTAAGTTCTTCAAAGTGCAACTGATTATTCTGTTTACTTAGGAAAAATACTGTGTTTGTTTGGGGTGTTTTGCCCACAGTATGATAAAGGTCAGATTTACATGGTCACCCATGTAATGGTGTGGTGATGATGATGATACATGGTCTATCTAGTTACAATTAAGTTGAACCTGAATTATTGCTTAACCCAGTCTATGCAAAGCTTTGCATGTAAAGTAGTAATTTGCTTCCAGAGAAGGAAATACAATGCTGGTGCTAGAATCAGCTCTGTGCCTCAAAAGGCACAGAGGCTCTGCTGTTGCTTTGTCAGGGCAGTTTATGATGCTCAGGGGATTTGTGCAGTGTACAGAACTAAACAATAATAAAACACCAGGAGATGACAGGAATAATTTGTCTAACTGGAAACCTACTTTTTAATTTTGAAAAATAACATGTGGTTCATAACCTAACTCCAAACCAACACCACAGCTGCTTATCGAATGGGGAAAGTATATGGGGATCAATATATAGGGAATATATTAATATATGAGCATTTCTATAGGCAGACAAGGTTCCTTGTGTGCATCTGATATCTTTTATTAGACCAATCCAAATAGTTGGAGAATAGTTATTAAGCAAGCTTTCGGGTTCAAAAACCCTTCGTCAGGCTAAGGAAGTTTCTGCAGTTGGTGTGTGCTCTTCCTGGATGCAATGAAAAGAAGTCAGAGGCTTCTTAAAAAGATCTTCCCAGAGCCATTCATCCTAGCCTTCAGACAAGCACTAACCTTATCACCAGAAGCAAACTTCCTCAAGCCCAGAGCACACCAAAAGGATCCAGGCCATGCCATGACAAGAAATGCAAAACCAGCCAACACATCTCCATCACCCCCACAATTACTACACCCCACCACATAGCCATCAGCATTCCCAGATCTTACAGCTGCACCTCCAGAAATATAATATACCTCATCCAATGCACCAAATGCTCCGATAGAAAATATGTAGGGGAGACCAAACAACAACTGCACACCAGAATGAATGCACACCGGAAATCTGTCAAAGACAGAAATACCCAATTACCAGTGGGGGCACATTTCTCATGAGAAAACCACTCTCTCTCCAATCTCTCAGTCCTGATCCTCAAAGGAAACTTACACAGCACTTCCTAGAGACGAGCCTATGAACTCCACTTCATCAACCTCCTAGATACTAAAAATCCTGGACTAAATATAGACATTGGATTTTTGACACATTAGCTGCCTGACAACTGACTCCCCAGCCCAGCCTCTGGCTTCTTTACTTTTCATTCCATCCAGGAAGAGCACACGCCAACTGCTGAAACTTCCTTAGCCTGATGAAGGGTTTTTGAACCCGAAAGCTTGCTTAATAATTGTTTTCCAACTATTTAAGTTGGTCTAATAAAAGATATCAGATTCACCCAAGGAACCTTGTCTGCCTATGTCCTTAGACCAACACGGCTACAACCTACACCCCTGAGCATTTCTATAGTATTCATCACTACAAAATCAGACAGATATTTAAGGTCTTTGGCCTTATCCCTGGAGGATAGAGGGGACCAAAGGGGAATTTTGAGGACCACAATTTACAGATGGGGGAGTTGAGGCTAAGGACTTAAGAAACAGGGGGCTGTATTGGCTAATTTGCAGCTTATTGCTTCTCGGCCTCTTGAAGGCTCAGATCAAGTGTATTTCAGTACAAGACTCACCTTTCTCATCAAGGCTGCAATCCTGTAAATGTTCATTCAGGTGCTTAACAGTTGGTACCCAAGTAATGCCACTGTGTGAACCAAAACACACAATATGCATTCATGATTGCAAAGTGAGGTCTAAACCTTCATGTAAGTTCTTAGTACAACTTAGTAGTGTAAGTGACAGCTCTCTTGTGACTTTTTATGCCATTTTGCTGAAAGATGTGACACAGTCAGACTTCTTAACAAAATTGGGGAACTGGAAGATTTTCAGGCTGTCATCACTACAACAAACATTGTTTGGATAATGTTGGACAATCTTGTAAAGGGCTAAGAAATCTGATTTTGTATAAATGTTTTGTCATGTCTGTTGAAAGAGCATATGTATCTGTATGTATGTATTCTTTCTGTACTCTAAGAGCATGGTAACTAGGGTCTGAATACACAAATCAGGAATTCTAAAGTTATGTTCTTCATCTGCTGCTGATTGGCCTGAAAAATTAATAATACTTAACAAATCTGAGTTGTGGCTATTTAAATCTACACTGGTAAAAATGAGAGTGAAATTGTATAATGATAATACAACTCCTGTTGCATATTCTGTTAATAAACTTTGAAGCCCTTTGCAGATAGAGAAACGACTTGCCCAGAAATAGCACAGCAGTGAAGAGAGCGCAAGTGTCCCAAGTCTTCCTCAGGTGTTCTTGTCTATTAGGTCCAGTCATGGGAAATGTTTCTGAAAATGTAACTAGTTGAAAGTTAGCAGCCTTTAAAATTAACTTAAGTTAAAAGTTAAATATTTCCACTTTCAACTAGTTAAAGGTAAGTTAAAAAGAGAGTAACTAGTTAAAAGTTAAGTTGATGTGTGAGAAATGCATAAAACACAGTGAACTGCCTCTTAGCATCATTTCTAATTTTCAAATGCAATGAGTGGGTTTCTTTTCCATAAGCCCACAGAAGCACACTATTTACTCAGAACTCACCCTGCTTTACCTGAAAACAATGTTATACTTGTCATGCAGTTTTCAGAATAACAATTTATCAATACCTATGTAATGTTAGATCCTTCTCACCCTCTCCATGTGAAGTACTTTGTAAAAGTCAATGCATCATATAGGCATACCGAATAACAGAAAGGAGATATTCATAGCCAGGTGACAAATGAAAGCTGTTTGCAATTTTTATTGCTCAAAAGGTAACAAAAGGGTATGAAATACATCTGGATTAGAAATAATGAAAGTGTCTGAAAATCAAAATTAGACTTAAATGAGAGAGAATGTTCAGTTGCATAGCAGAAACAGTTTAAACATGCTTATTGAACTTCAGCAAAAGCTGCATTTCAAAATTTACATCTGACAATTTTCCTCTTCTGTATTGCAAAACTAAGCCCCCACTACTGAACAATTGCTTTACATGGGCAGATGAGGGGATGCTTGTGTTATAACAGATTAATAGTTTTTTCATAGTAGGTGGCATCTCAGATAAGTTTTCTCACAGATGAGAAGTAATGCTCAGCTTCTTAGTCCCTGGGCTGCTGGTTCTGATCTTCATTAAAATTTAAAGTCGTCATCTACTTCACCCTCACTACTTGCTCCCACTTCTACTGGGATAAATGTCTCTGCCTGCTTGGGCTTGTTCCTTCTCCTGCTGCCAACTGGCTGCCCTGTTGACTTCTGCAAATGCACAGAAAATGCCAGCATGAACTAAGGAACTCTGGGACTTGTAGTTCTTAAGAGACTATCTCGTAGGAGGGTGCAGTACTCTCTGTCTCTCAAACAAGAAGTTCTAGAGTTTCAATAAAGAAATATCATTCCATGTAAGTTGTAGAGAGTGGCTATAGCTGGAAAAACTCTGGGAAAGCCAGATTTCAATGTTTAATTTTAACTTATACTCAATCTTTTTTTTTTTTTAACTTTAACTAGTTTTAAAAAAAAGTTAAAGTTAAAAATTAGCCATTTCTTTAACTTTTTAACTAGTTCATTCCCATGACTGATTAGGTCACACTGCTTCCCAAGTGTAAGTGACTTGCAAGTTGTTGTCCAAATTGCTAAACACTTGCTGCTTATGAATTGTACAATTTACATAGAAAAAAAGTATTCTGGTATGTCTTATTTTTCCTGTTCAAATTGCTTTAATAAATACATTGCAAGATTCTAGTCTCTGGGTTCCTGTCTCCTGGCCCTCTGTCTCCCGGCCAGGAAACTAAGTAGTAATGTCCTATTCTAAAAATACGGAGGGAAATGAAACCGAAACATTAAACAACTGGCTTGGAGGAGCATAATGATCCACTGAAAAGGAGTGGGAAGAGGCAAAGGCTGGGAAGTGTGGGTGGTGCAGCTGTGCATGGCCACCAAGGGCACAGTCAAACCAGAAGCTACACATGGACCAATTACGAGTAGCTCTGCTTCTGAGTAGAGCATGCAGTGTTGTGCTAACGGGAGGAAGTGTTGTCATAAGTTCATGTTTAAGTGCCTACAATACATATAATAAAAAACAAGTCAACACCCTAAGCAAACAACTTATCTCTTCTTTCCCTTTTTACATTTTAGGGGATGTATCTCCAGTTCACATGAATCCCATTTCCCAATCTCTGTTTGTTCCTTTGGCAGAAATTCTTTGTGCCATATCTGATGTGAATGAAGCTCATATTACTGTTACACAGGAAACCTTAATGGATCAACTGGTAAAAAGTTATCCAGGTAACCTACTGCCAATGTCTCTTTATAGAAGCTAATACTTTAATTCTTGACTTGATGACAGTGCATATGCGCATTCAGAACAATGCCCCCAAAGCTGGTGATATGGAACAGTGGTTCTCAACCTTTGGTACCTGCTGATCGACATGGCGAAAGTGAAACCGGAAGTCCCAGCGTGGCACTTCTGGTTTTGCCGCCACAAGCCGAGTCCCACTTTTTCCTTGCGGACCATGGCCCGGGGCAAAGTAGCCTGCGTGGGACCCCGCTCCCTGTCCCCTGGCACACTGATGCCAGGGAGTGAAAGCCCCGGTGCACCAGATGCGGCGGAAGGGGCGGTGGCTAGAACTTCCAGCCTGAATAGGCAAAGATGCCTCCAACCCACCAGGCTGGGGGGGGGTGGGCCAAACTCAAAACACAGCACCCATGTACCCCCTGCCCGTGTCTCATACCCCCAGGTGTATGCATACCATGGGTTGAGAAACACTGATAGGGAAGATGCAGTGGAACAGGTAATCAGGAAGGAAGTTACATATACAAATACAGGCAATCTCTTTGTAAATCTACAATATGGCAAATGTTACTTTCTATGTAGCCTGTTTAAAATCTCTCCTACGAAGTCTCACAAATCAGCTTGCAAACGTATACTGTAAAACACTATGGTAGGGGTGGGCAGGTTGGAGAAAATACGCATTTCTTTTAGCAAATTGCCCAAAATATATACAACTTCTCCACTAAGGTGAAAGAGTGAAGTTAGAAACTGAATTAAGTATTCAGAGAAGCCAAAATATAGAAGTGTATAAATACGTTGGGGTCCTAAATGAAGAGTGAAAAGCTTACAGTCATCCCCTCAGAAAGTCCAAAACATGATATTTGAACTATTATGGGTATGGTATGGTGAAGAATCTGTATTCATGGTCTTCAGTCACAGATAAGAACGGGTTGAAGTCCAGGTGTAATAGTCAAAATCTTCTTCCTTAAAAGGAGATTCTAGAACTACTCATTCTGAATCATTTTGCTCTCTGCACTTTAATATTGCACTTCTGATGGGGCGAGGGTACACCAATTTCCCCTGAAATCCCATGGGTATGAGCATTTCATTAAGAGAACAATCTCTAAAGTTCTATTCTAGGATTCCAGAGTGGAAAGTTGCTTGGTTTTTGCTTTTGACCCTGAGTGCTCCTCTGTCTGTTAAGCAGATCTTCATTTTGTTTCTGGTAATAAAAAAATGAAAGGTTGATGCCACAAATTGGGCTAGAATCTGGCATAATCTTAAAATGTGTCATGAGAACTCCAGTAGAACCTTAGCTCAGATGGAAATGGCACTCTAAATCAGTGGCTGTCCACCTCGATAGATGCAAGGCACCCCTCCAAAACTTTTCAAAATTCAGTGGTACACTATATAAAAAAGAGTATAAATATATTATGAATGTTATAAATGTTATGATTATATTACTAATTAGAATGTTATTAATTGAATAGATAAATATATTCAGCCCATTGCTACCCTGGCTGGAACTATTTCACTTGCTATCCTCAGAGCCAGGTCAGGAAGTGGCTATGGCAGGAGTACGCACTCTTGCTGCACAATCCCTCCTGGTCCCTGCACTGTATCTCCCAGAAACAGAGGCATACAGGGCAGATGGAACTGTCCCATGTGCCTCTTTTCAGAAGCTGTTGGGAGCTAAATACCTCTGCCTGAAGATAAATGCTGCTGTCCTGTGTGCTTCTGTTTTCAGGAGGCATGTCAGAGCTGAACTGGAAAGAGCCACAGCAAAGACAGCATGCCTGCCCACATAATGTAACTCAGACAAGTACAGCTTTTTCCTACATCAGCTTCTCAGTTTGGCTCCCAGGCACCTCCTGAAAAGAGACGCGCAGAGCAGTTCCCCCCCTGTGACGATGATGAAATTGCAGCACCTCTAGCAAGTTCTTATGGCACCCCAGGATGCCCCAGCACCCTAGTTGAGAACTACTGTTCTAAATGCTGGTAGTAAAATGGTGCTAACTAGAACTTTCTTTCTCACGAAGTGGAACTGCAGAGATATGAAGATTGTGAAAACTGGCAATCTGTCTAGTTTTCATTAGCATATCAGAGACACCAGCCCATGATTTAAGAAGTTTTGATAGAAATGGATTGCAGCAAGCTAACTCCCTGTGGCAATTGTAACCAGGGTTTTCCTGCTTTGACAAACCAGTATCAGATGTTTCAGAGGAAGGTGTAAATACTGCTGTTATGAACCATTGTAGCATAGCCTGCCCAAAGTGAACGGCATCTGCCAATGGTTATTGGTTGGCTCATACCATGAGCAAAGGAGGTCTTTCTTGTGTGATTATTTATGTGTGTTATAAAAACTTAATCATGTCTAGTACAATTGAAACATCCTCAGTTGCCTGTGTAAAAAGTTAATCCATTAAAGATGGAACAAACAAGAACAAAACACCAAGCTATCTGCAAGTTGGAGCCAGAGTCCCTTAATAATACCGGTCTTTCAGGACCATAGGTAGAGGGGCCATCCATTCATGTTCCTAACATGCTAAAACTTCCCTATTTTCAGCATGTTGCTATAGTGTTTAGTTGGTTTTGTTCAATATTTAACAGAACACTATAGCAACATGCTGAAAATAGGCAAGTTTTAGCATGTTACGAACAGGAATGGATGGCCCCTTTACCTATGGTCCTGGAAGACAGGTATTATTTATTCAACTTGCAGATGGCTTGGTGCTTTTGTGTTTGTTTATTCCATCTTTAATGGATTAACATTTTAACACAGGCAACTGAACAAAGTGTGGTAGACCCTTTTCTTTCTCCCTTTGATGTATTATTCCCCCATTACGTTGTTGAAGATGAATCCTTGTCTAGCCTTTGTGTCACTCATTGATGATTTCCAAGGTATGGGGTTAGTGCATCTTTGCCATTGTCCCCTATTTTATAGAATTTGTGATTGCTGCCCTCTACTGGACTGCCCACAGAACCAGCTTTCAAGACTAACTAGTGAAAGTGTCTTGTGATGGTCCAGAAACTATACAAGAAACAAAGCTTTTATGGGGGTATCTTTTTATTGGACCAGCTGTATAATTGGGAGAGCAGTTAGACAAGCTTTCAGGCACAAAGAGCCTAACCAATGAAAGGACATTTTGGATAATTCTGTATTTGGAGCAGGAGATATACTGACTTCTGTTAAGAATTCTTCATCTTTGAAATTTTGCTTATAGCTGTGATCCCTGTGTTGCGTATATGGTCACAGGGTTTTATTGTGGGTTAATTTTTCTGGTAACAGATTATACTGAGTTGTGGTTTTGGTTTATGAAGCTAAAAAGAGTGACTTTGTGTCTTCAAAGATTTAACAGCTCTTTACATGATGTTAAATGTTTGAACTCAGTTTGTGTTAAAACTCAGTTTGTGCTACTAAAATTTCTAGTGTTAGAGTGGTCTTAGAAGCCATTTTAAAGCATTCAGTGTAATCCATACGGTATTTGCATGCCTCAGTCACTTCCAGATTTGTTATATAGTAGATTGGTGCCCTGGTGCAATGTTGCTTCTAAGCAGCTATTGTTGTTTTAGGGAATGTTGTCTGAATGCAGTGCTAGGGAAAATGTTGCTGATAAGCAGTTGATACTCTTACTAATTATTTTTGCAAATTGACTTCTGCTATATAATTGTAAATGATTGTTTTGCATCTAATTTTCATTGATTCATACATGCATATGTAACATTTCTGCTATAGAATATAAATATTTCATTTTTTATTGTTGTAGGCATAGCCATTCCCTCACAAGAAATTCTATATAATACTCTTGGAATGTTAATTAAGGAAAGGAAGATCTATCACACTGGAGAGGGATACTTCATAGTGACACCCCACACTCACTTTGTCACTGATAATGCCATAAGGCATGAGAAAAAGGTCCTGTCAGAGGATAACTGCTCTTCTCTGCCACCTGTCACATACCTTGTAAGCATAGACAGCTGTGCTGACCTAACAAAAGAAAATGTTCCTACCATGACCCACTGTAGATCCTGTCATTGTTTCCCTGATCAGACTACATTCAGTGAACAAAGAGATCAGCAACTAATGAACCATGAACCTAAGGGAAGAGGTCAAAAAGGCTCTGAAATTAAACTTCCACTTTGGAGTCAATCTGTCTCTACATCAGCTGATATTCATTCCTGTGACACAATCAAGTCCTTAACTTCAGTGAAAGAAAAAGTGAAATGTAAAAAGTTTGGCCTTGGTCTTTTTAGGCGTAGCACTTCTTAAAAAGAGAAACCTAAAAAGGAGTACTCTCACTTTTTCAGCCCAGTTTCCACCTAAAGAATGGCCAGTTAGGGATGAAGATAGTTTAGACAATATTTCACGTGATATTGAACATGAAATCATCAAGCATGTTAATCCTCTTCTGACGGTTGATAATTTAATTAAACACACCGTATTAATGCAAAAATTTGAGGAACCGGAAAAAAAATACATTAGTAAACATACCTCAACTGAAAAGTTGCCAGTCAGACAAAAGCACATTTCAAAAGTATGTGCTCACATGAAGCAAAATAAAACAGCAAAGCATCACAGTAGAATTAACTCGAGCAAAGGAAATTAAAGTAGCAAAACCCGGAGAGTCTCTCAAATCAGTGAGCTTGCATCAGAAAATGAGAAGGTGGAAAAATGTGTGGAACATCTGTCATCCTATGTTGCAAATGAGAAGGCACCAAACAAATCCTGTTTTATATATAAAAAAAAAAAAATTCTAATCCTTTTCCAGGTCTGGCATGTAGAGAGAACCTTTATACGAAGTGGCATAAAAGTCAGAAAAACAGTCAGTTAAAGTCCCGGACTCGAAAGCAAGAACAGAATTTTCAAATGCCGAGGCCTCAGGATCCCCCAAGAAGTTCTGACCATGAAGCCAAACAACCAGTAGCTGAAAAGCACGATAACCAAGCCAAGCAAAACAAATTATTCCACATTAACAATACTTCTCTCTATCTGAACGAAAATCATTTAAATGAATACCCAAGCTATCCACAATGCAGTACATTACAAATAGACGATGAATGTCAGGGCTGTAGAGAAAATATTTTTCCCTCAATTTCCCAATATAATGTCTATACAGAGGCAAACAGAAATAGTAATGTTCAAAAATCCCTTCCTTTTTACACTGAAGATATGGTTGTGTTTAAGGAAGAAATAAAGTATCCACTATGCTTGAAAGATACTCATCACTGTGACAAAGTTGATCTTGTCTGTGAGTTACTAGATCAAATGTCAGAAGTTTCACAACTTCAGACTTTTTAATGATCCACCTGATGCTAACCAGTTTAAACAGCCTGAAAATGGTGTGAATTGCAGGAAAAAAAACTGATAAAAAGAATGAGTTCATGTTTAAAAATAACAGTACTAAATGGTCAGAATCTGTTAAGCCAGAAAATGAAGCATTTACTTGCCACCAAACTCTATATCAGAATGCAGATTATGACAACCCTTTTAGTTCACTATATCATGATAATTATTTTGATGAGAACACCAACCCTTGTCAGCTGCAACAAAGCCAGGTGGCTTCAGATGGAGGAGAAAGGAATAAGATACTGCAAAAAATGGGAACTGAAGCATCTTTGGGAAAACTGGAGTGTTAATACTGATCCAAATGAGTATGATACCGATGTCAATAAACCTGATTCTTGCGAGCATGACACAAACAAATGCCACAGTCTTGCTGGGTCACTGGATAGCTCAGAGAGTGCCAGAAAAAGAGTTTCATAAGACAAAATTGTTTCTATAGCCAGATGCCTCAGTTTGCTTACAAAAAACCAGAAGAGCAAGTGGACCTCATGGAGCCTATAGGGGCTTCAGATATTGTTGATGTCAGTATGTTTGACATCAGTAACACTACTGACCTTGACTCGGATGCTGAAACTTTGAAGAACTCTAGCAATGAAATGGGAGAAAAATCAGCATGCCGGACACTGGGCCTGCAAACCAAAGAAATTAAAAAAAATTGAAATAAAAGAACAGATTTTTAGTAGTATGCATACTACAGTTTTAGGACAGTGTGTCTGACAAGAAACAAGTAACTTAGAAGGAACAGAAAATCATAGCATTACAGGAGACAGTGGAATTGACTCTCCAAGGTAAGAACTCAAAACATCAGTGATGTGCTCGTTTCATTACTGTGTTGCATACCCATTTAGGGACCTGCTTTTGAAATTTTTTCACAAATTCACCTAAAGCAAAAAATTATGTGAAACAAGTTTGCTACCCACATGATCACTTGTGGGGATGAAAATCAGTCAAAGGATTTCATAGAAATGTGAAACTTCCAGAAGCATGAATAATTAAACTAAAATTTTGCCAATTTATTTCCATTCTTTGCAGAGAGACATCACCCATCTCTTAGTAACATCAGAGTCCTGTAATGATTCCTAATCTTTGCCAGGAAAGGGCACTTAAAGAAAACTCTTCTTTTCATAATAGATATCCATTGCCATTTTGAAAAGCTAGTTATGCGGAGAACCAAATCCTACTTTTTAGTCCAGCAAAAGTCCTGTTCTATTTAAGTAAGATATTAGGAAAAACGTTCTCACTAGGAGGATAGTAAAACACTGGAATGGGTTACCCAGAGAGGTTGTGGAATCTCCATCCTTGGAGGTTCTTAAGATCCGACTAGACAAAGCCTTGTCTGAGATGACCTAGTTGGGGAAGGTCTTGCTTTCAGCAGGGGTTTGGACTAGATGATCTTCTGAGATCCCTTCCAACCCTAATTTTCTATTATTCTATTCAAGTCAGTGAGCATTTTGCTTTATCAGGGACAGATTTGTGGTGCATTAATCAAATGTGGATAGTTTGAAATCTCAGTAGACTACGTTAATTTAGTTATCACTGTTCAATTAGAAATAATTCATTTTGATTTCTATTAATATGGTACCATATGGCATCACTTTATGGTACTAGAAACTAAGTACACTGTGTTATTTTTAGAATGCAAAGTCTTGTATCTAAAAATTTGGCTATTTTGAATGGATTGAATAAACTATGACATTACCCGGAAAACACTGAAGGCATAAATAAAAATGCAGAGACTGAAATTCCTTGCTGCAGTTGACTCCAGTCATGAATGTTCAATTTTCTTTTCTTGTACAGTTTTGTTTTATATTTTTACAAAATAAATATGGAATTACTGTAAATGTTTAAAGTGACTACAAAAATGCCTTTAAATTAATGTCTTTATTTTAAAACTTGTATTGTTGGCTAATTAGTGTCCAATTAAAAAAAAAAATGGCGGGGGGGTAGAGGAGTCTATTCCCACTGAACATGGACCTGCAGCCTGGCCCCACTCAGTGCTAAATAATTAATTGGCAATAAACACACATAACAATGAGAAGGGTTAATCAACAATATATTGGACAACAACAACCAACAGGTAAATGACAAACGAGATCCAATAATAAAAGGAACATTATAAACCCCAATACAGTATGAAAGACCAACAACAGTACCAATGCTCAGGCTAGGTGTTGGTAAAGAGCAATAAGGGGTCTCTCACTGGTGGTCTCGCTCACACTGGGAACCGCGCCATTCACACAAAATCACTCTCAACACTGGCTAATCCTTCATATACAAGGGATATTGGCCTCCTAGGCCCTCACCCAAAACACACACACACACACACACACACACACACACACACATACAAGGGATATTGGCCTCCTAGGCCCTCACCCAAAACACACACACACACACACACACACACACACACACACACACACACACACACACACACACGATTCAAACTCACTGAGTCATTTGAGTCTCATTCGAGCCTACAACAACTGGTAATTCAAATCCAATGCTCAGATGAGGTCTTGACTAGGGCTGTGCTTGGGGTGGGTGGTGTTGGGATGGGGGCTACAGTGAATTTTGGGGGGCTTCAGTAGCTGATTCAATCTGGAGGAGATTCAGCCTTTTTCAGGGGCCGAATCTGAATCAAATCGAGAGACTAAGTAAAAGCTCCAAATTGATCTGAAGCATCTGAATCAATTCAGAAAAGGTTTAGAAAAGTTTTGGCCGAATTTGGAGATTTGACCATATACTAAACAGGCAGCTGACAGCTGCCTCCAGCTGTTAAGTCTGTTGGGGTTGGAGGAGCAGGGAGGGATGAGGCATGGGGGAGAGAGGGATTGGGGCTGGGACAAGCTGCCTGGCCAGGTTAGGGAGGCACTTTACTCTGGGAGGGGGCGGGGGGATGCGGGCACAGCAGCACTAGAAGCAGGGGCTATGCGGTGTTGCCACCCGGAGCGAGCTGTGCCTGCATTGTGCCCCCCCCCTCCCCCCCATGCCGGCTGGGCAAGTGGCAGCAGGGCTGAGCCCCAACAGCTCCACCCCCCTGCCGGGG